TGGGGATGGTAAGGAGACCCAGGCTTGATACCAGATCTCCACCTACATTTCTAGTGGAGGTCCATCCACTTTTTCTTTATGGAAACCTTATAGAGTGTGAAAGTAACAGTCCACAGCATCCGTCACTCCAACAAGTCAAATTGAATTCAATATAACATTTGTAATGTGAAGAATAGCATACCTTTCAGCAAAAATAACACCCACTCCTGTGGTTTTGGAAGACTTCTAGACTTTTCAGCCAAGTAGTTCCTTCTCTTTGACAACACTGTCCCATCATCTAAAAGATGGAGTTTGTCCTTCCATTTATTGAACAAACCCACAGTAGTTCATCCCAGGCAGTCAATTAGGCCTAGAGACTTTGGTCTCAGAGTCAAACTAGAGCAAAGGAAGCATTATTAACATTTCAAGGCACCTCAATAACTGTCTCTCAAGGAAATCTTTGCTGTCACTCAGTTCAACAAAGGGTTTGTCAAAAGTACATACTGAACTGTTCTTTCATTATTCCGTTTTGTCCACTTTGAATATAAGCCACATGGTGGAGGAAACCACATCTTGTTCACAACATCCTCCAAATATGGAAGTATTTTGATAAATACTCATTGAGGTGTAGGTCAGTAATAGATGACACACCTAGTATGTGCAGCACCCTTGGTTTTCTCTCCAGAATTTCAAAAGGAAAAATAGAATAGCTATTGAGTAAATAAATGTCAATTAATGGATGCCTAATGGTATTACACAATGCCTAAAATCACATCACTAAATAGACCGAGGATGGCTATTGGTAGAGAATTAAGGGCCAGATTGAACTATAAATCAAGATTCTGCCTAAAAATAAAAGTATTTCTACAGCTTGATGGATGAATTTCAGGCAGATGCTTTCTTGAGAGTCTCTGGATACCAAATATTACTTAAAGCACAAAATAAATAAATAAATAATAGAAATGATATTTTTCGAAACCACATAAGGATATATTCTGTGTCAGGAAGAGACAGAACGCCTTGTGAAAAGTTCACTTTGATTCTACTAGGCACATTTCCTATGTTTCTGAAACACACCAAGCTCACCTAAACATCACGTAGTCCTACAGTTTAGTTCTGGCTATTAGTCTGTATGCTGCTAATTTACACCAGGATTTTTCTCTGAACACAATTATAATAATTAGCACTTTTGGTTAATTGATAGCCCTCTTTATTTCATAAACTGTAAAACACATCACAGGCATTTCAAGGGTGAGGTTATTGCAAAGACTCATAAGTAGTAATTTCAGTGGTGTGTGTATACATAGGAAAGGGAGGGGGGTCACACTGCTACCAGACTTTCACACTCTGTCAGTGTAGCAAAAGCATAATTAGAGTCATGACTTTGAAAGTCTAAAATATACATTGATTATTTTTCAGATGCTTTAGGCCTAGTTACATATTATATTGCCTGACATTTGAAAAGAAATAACTTCTTAGGCATTTTGTTTCTATTAGTCTAGAGCTGTTATATAAACACAAAATTCATTTTATTTTTTTAATGAGGAGTCTCTGCTAATATTTAGACAAATAAGGCTGTGTTGAGGAAATATATTCTGTATGTAAAGAGTGGACATAGACAACATTCCAGAATGGCCAAGGCCACCATTATTGTTTCTTAATGAGTATATTATTTTACCAGAAAACTATACAGATGCTGAGTCTATTGCATATTCAAGGACTAAAGAAAAAAACACTATGTTCATCTCATAAGGTTACTGGTACGTAGGGTGACAATCTTAATTTTGAGGGTTTCTTCCTACCAGAGGATATGATCAAGACTTTTATGCTTATACACACAGAAGGAAAACAATATAATAAATAATGATGATGATGATGATGATGATGATGATGACATGTGCAAGGCTTCCAGGAAAAAAGAAAATGATATAGAAGACTAGAGGTCTGGTGAGATGTGGAAAAGAAGGTTAGGGTTCCTGGGAGTTTGATGGAACTGGTGGCAGTTCCTCCCAAAAAGAAACAAGAAAATGAAGGGCGTGCTGTAAGCACTACTGACCTTTGTCACTTCTGCTGTTCAGGAATGGCGAAGGATCTGTTCTCCAAATTTCAATCCTCATTTCCAAGTTTCCAGAAGCCTCCCAGGATTCTAGTTTATGCATAAAGTTATTATCCCTGTTTGTATCTGCTCTGTTGTAAATGCTTGTCATAATCACTGCTTCTTAATTTAGCAGATGGTTGGAACTGTGTAATCCTTCTCAGAGGAATTACATACAGTTATGTCATTTCCCAGGTTGATTTCAAAGATGTAACTTGAGATCAAGTAATGTTTCAATTTCAGTATTAGCTCAGAATCGTGGACATAAATGTTTTCTTTCCTTTATTTCTGCAGTTTTAAATATTTGGAATAAACTGAATTAATCTTCTAGTATTTTTGTTTGATGTGTTTAAATAAAGAAATAAAAACAAGTAACTTGTTGTACTCCAATCCCATATTTTGCTACAAGACTCATCAGGATTCCTCCAAAGATATTGTTTGATATCTGCACAGAACTGTTTCTCACCTACTGTCAGCCAGTACGCAGCAGAAGGAAATGATTTCTCACACCAGACTGGTGTATGTGAGCTCTACAATGAATACCTGCCACTGCATGCAAGATACAAGTGGTAAAATAGAAACACAGAAGCAACAACCAACAAACATTCCTAGAATCTCCTGTCTACCCAAAATGCCATTGGTGCTTTCTGGGCAATGGGTATCCTGTTGCAGTTGCCATTGACTATTTATACAGGAGCACACATTTTAAAAGATGGGAAACTGAAAAGGAAGAGATTGCCCAATGTTTCAGATCTGTTTCTCAGTGACAATACCATCTCTCTCCACCCTGGGGGCTCTTCCAAAAAGCCAGCTTTTTCTAAGCCAAGATTTCACTAAATCAAAAGACTTATGTCTATATGCCGTGCAAGTTTTTTCAATTTTCAATTTCCAATATCTATGCCCTTCCAACTCCCTACTGTTCCTGTTAAACTTTGCTATGGATACAGCAGGAAGCAAGGGGAAGGGGGGTGTGAATATTTGAGGGTATGCAGAGATGGTTAATTTAGTCAGGGAACCTCATTATTATGCCATTATGCCTTGTGTACAGAGGCTTTCTTCTTAGGGAGTAAAGGATCTTAAATTCAAATAGGAAATAAGCTGTACAATCCCCCTGTGAAATGGTAAATTATGAAAAGAGACAGCCACCTTCTAGGCAGTATTGGTATTGTAATGCAAAGTTGCCAGAGCACGTGGGTTTGCCTTTCTGTCTGTGACTTGCTAATCTTTTATGGCCTGATGTAGTACTTGCTTCACAATCACAAATTATTGTCATGATGATGAATAGGACAATGTAAACATACACATGTGTATACACACATAACATATGTATGTTGATGTGGGAGCTCTACATTAAGGATAATGTTTGTATATAAGGCATCTTTATATTGTAATCAAGAACTCATTCCCCCTCTGCAGGGAAGGTACCACTCACAGTCATCCTGTGTCCTGCTTCAGATTTGTTTAGTATGCTGCTTCCCACATTGGTACCCTTCATACAGTCATGAAGATACAGATGCACGCCTCTCCCTGAGTATGGTCAGCTAAACGTCTGTGTCCCCACCATGAGGATGGCAGCTATCACTGTGGTGAAAAATAGTAGCCAATCTTTGCTGAAATACGTTTTCAACTAGCTTCTGAAGAGAACCGTTCTCTGAGCCTAGCAGATAGGTAGGGGTTGGGGTGGGGTGTGTAGGTTCAACAGCCATTCAAATTTATTGTTTTCTATTGATGTATTGCTCCTACCTGCTACTAAATCCCAGGAATTTAACTGGTCCTTGCTACTGCTGGAATTCCAGTTCTTTCCTTCCACATTCGGAAGGCCTGGACCACCTTTTGGGATACTGAATGACTAAGTGAGAAAGTACGTGTTTCTGCTACAGTTTTGATGTCTTGGTAGGGATTTAGTGAGTGTCATTTGCTGTTTTTATATTATCCCATTTTTTTTTGCCCTTCAGGCACTAGCCAGGAAGCAGGCAGGATCACCATGGCAAGGTCCACCTATTCTGATTCATTAGTCCCCACACAGGAGCCACCCCACACTTGAGCATTTCTGCAACAAAAAAGTATTGTTTGCCTCCCATAAATTTCAATAACTAATTCTAATTTGTAAGTAATATTTTTTCTGATACTTTCTTGCAACTTAAAATCACTTTCTTGCACACCCCTTAGGAGAATTCCTATTCTGTTGTGAAATAAATTGGGAGGAAGAAAGAACATTTTTGTTTGTTTCAAACTGATATGAAAGCAAGGCATATAAGCATGACTGAAATGAAAGGGGTTTTCATCTCCATCACATTCTTTTCTAATGGTTTACACACATCCACAGCTATGATGGTGCTTTATGTACTTTCCTTGGGTCTCTAGTGATTACGCAGAGGACACAATCAGCTATATGATCTACATATTAGCAAGCATTGATAAAAGCTTAGTGGCTATTAAAATGCCACAAAATGAATGCATCTAAAGAAACAGGATCACTTTTTTTTCCCAGGTCTTGTTTTTCAGCAGCCAACATGACAGAACACTTTCACAAAACTGTGGTGGGTACTGCAGGTTTATATGCATTATACTTGTTGATGTCTACACCTTTGAACAGATGAGGAACCTGAAGAGAAAAAGAGCTTAATAAAACCCCAAGGTAGAGTGGTAGAAGGAGCCCCGAGGCTGCTGATCTCGGCTTTACCTCTTGATGTTCAGTCACAGTATAGAAAAGTTACCTGAAACCAAGGCCACCTACTTCGTTCAAAGACTATGACAAGATTGGATAAGGACAGCTGGAGGTGAACATGAGCACGGTGTGCTGATACCTATGTTTGAAAACGTCGGAATAAAATCCACTATTTTGTTTGCTAAGAAACTGACAATAAGAACACATAATCATGTAAATTAAAACAAGTCAGAACTAGAAGAGAACACACAGAGAAACCTAGACTCTGGGAAACCCTTTGATCTTCATTTTCCTCTTAAGGCAAGCACATGGTTATGTTGTAAGATGGGTTTCTCTTCTATTTGTGGCTCCACACTTAATACTTAAGTGTTAAAAAAAAACCCAGCCGGCCTCAATTTTCCATTAGTATTCATGTTTCCTTTTTCAAAATTATCCACTTTTATTTTCCATTGTATGACTTAATTCTTTGTCTGATACAAAGCTCTTAAGAATCTTCTTTGTTCTTCAAAAGACAGAAAAAGAAAGACCCAACGTGTGGTTCTGTAGAGAAATGAAGAGAGCACAATCAATCTGAAGTAACTTGAGGTTATACAAATGCATGGTGTTTTGAATATCAGATGATGGTATTTGTCTAGCTATTTATATTTCAACCTGTTTTGTTTATGCCAATATTCTCTTACTTAATAGAAAAGCAAAAGGTGGGTAACTGCTTAAATCCAGGCTTTCTGTTGTTTAGCATGCTAGCAAATAAATTCACGAATAATTCCCAAATATTTCATTTTTTTAAAAAAATTGAGGTTATAATTTAATTACATTTTCTCTTCCCTTTCCTCCCTTCAAACTCCCATATATCCTGCCCTCCTTCAAATTCATAATCTCTTTTTCATCAGTTGTTATCCTATGCATATATGTATTTGTATATGTATGTATATTCCTAAGAATAAAACCTGTTCATCTGTGCCCATATAGTATTTTACATATATATTTTTTTCAGAGCTGACCATTTGGCACTGAACAGCCAGTTGGTGTGCTCTTCCCTGGGGAGGACTACCTCGCTGGCTCCCAGCTTTTTTCATTTGCCTGTAGTTCTTTGTGTAGGGCTGAGGCCTCATGAACTTTTTCATCATGTTTGTTGGTGTCCTCTTTGTTCAGCTCACGTCTGTGTGGTCATGTTGGTGAGATATTACAGGTATATAGCTTTGGATATTACTAAGAGACACAGTGTCACAGCAAAAACTCAGATCCTCTGGGACACTCTACTTTTTAAAATACCACAGTTGGCTGAAAATCCAGAGAGGTGGACCTAGGCGAAACCCAGGGTCACTTTGGGTTCTATGACAGGACTGAATAGCTTGGTTTGCTCTTATGTCTCTATTCACCATACCACTGTGTGGTAGGATCCCAGATTGATTCAGAATGCAAGACTCTGCCAACTTCCTTTTTGTCAATGTGTTGGGTAGTAAGGGTAACTCTCTGAAAATAGGTTGTCTAGTTTCTTAGGCTTTGACTGAAGCACTTTATTGGCAACCTCTGCTCCTGTTCACTGCTTTAATACTCAAGGTCTACGCTGCACATCTTACATTCCTGATGAATAGAAAACCACTGAAAACCATACTGTCCTCCTTCACTGTTACTCCTGGTGTGATGGTTTGATCCCAGCCTCCCCTTCATCACATAGTCTCCACACAAAAGCAAGCACTAACATGATGTCATACCAAGCTTTATAAAACATGGAAGGCCAGAGGATAATGAATGTGCTGACAACAGTGAAATGAAAGTCTTGTTTTTAGAAGCAGAAACTTTGACATGGATATATGTTATGGTTTGTCTATTCAGTATGGCACCAAAAAACAACTATGTTTCTTACCTCCTGGATCCAACCTTTGAGGTGTGATTGACTCACAAAGGTCCTGACTTAATCAGTAGATTGATCATTGATTGACTCATAATTTCAGGACAGGTCTGGGAGGGGATGAAGGATTCTGGAAGTGAGGCTCAGTTGGAGGCAGTAGGTCACCGGGGGTCTGTCCTTGTTGTCTATGTCTTGCCCTAGATCTAGCTCCTGTTCTTACTCCGGCTGCCCCTCCCCTCTGCCCACCCCACCCTGCTTCCCACTCTGTTCTTCCTTTCCTCCACTGTTTGTGGCAGCCATGAAATTCACTATTGCTTCAGGCTCACAGGGATGGAACTAGCTGACTGTGGAGTGAAATCTCTGGAACCATGAGCCTAAACAAGTTCTTTCTCTCCTTTTAGCTTTGTTTGTTTTATAAGAAACAGAGTACCATGTATCGTAGACTAGTCTCAGAATCACTGTATATCCATGAATGAACTTGAACTTCTGATCCTCTGCCTTCACCTTCCATATGCTAGGATTACACAGCTACACCCCAAATATGTGGTACTGGGGATTCAAACCAGAGTTTCATGCATGCTGGACCAGTACACTGCTGATCTACATTCTCAACCTGAACACCTGGTAAGTTTAATAATATATTTAATGTATCCTACAAAATACTCTGTCTGACAAATGTGCTGCCTGTTTTCCTTTCATTTAGTCTATTATCACAATAATATATGTAGCACTATGATACATGCTAGAGTGCCTAATGTAAATTAGACTTGGTTACTAACATCCTTAGCCATCAGGGAAATGTAAGTGAAAACTCTTTGGAGATTCCGCCTTACCTAAGTCAGGATGGCTATCATAAGAAAACAAGTAACGAGAGATACTAGCAAGGATGTTGGGGAAAGGGAACATTTACTCACTACTGGTGGAAATGTAACTGATACAGCCACTGAGGGAATCAGTAGGTAGATTTCTCAAAAAGCAATAACTAGCCACCATGTAAGCAACCTATATCATACTAGATAGAAGTTATGGTGTAATGGGTATGGACTAACAGAGATGAGGCACCTGATTTGGGTGAAGGTATACAGGGACAGTGTTGATAAGGATGCCCTACTAAATACAGTGAGGCTCTCCTGCTTTGAACTATTGGAGAGGACAAAGAGAAAGACTGTTCTCAAAAATACTTCTCCAAATATCAAGGTAACACTGCTGAAAACACCAATGAACAAATTCATGTGTGCCTGTGCCTGTGAAAAGAGAACACCAGGAGGAGTATATGTGAGCACCCTCCTTCTATAAGTTCTTACAAAAGTATGACCAAATATATTCTTTACCTAAAGGAAAGGAAGAGGAAGACCAGTTCGTAAGGTAGGCATTTTCTCACAAGCCACTGGATGCCCAGAGAAGAATGTCATAGACACGGAGGCTAATCTTTCTCACCTGCATGGCATCTGGCAGCAAGCAGTTGTTGGCCTTGCTTCACCTGCTGAACAATTCTGTCAGGGGCCCTAGGGTGCTGGCTATTACTTTCATGTTCCTCACTTCATGGTTGCAAGAGGACTGCAATCACATCCAGATTTCACTTTCGCATTCTAGGCTGGAAGGGAAGCTGAGATGCCAGCCTTTCTAGAATTCCTCCTGGTGGGCCACTGCTTATATTTTATTGTCACATGACCAGTGCCAGCTGGAGCAGAGCCTGGAAAAGCGGTAGACAGAGTATCACAGTTGGCTTAGACTAGGGGTCATCACATTTTTTTTTGTAGCAGTCAGACAATAAATATCATAAGCTTTGTGGGCCCTGAACTCAGTCTCAGTTATAAGCATCCAGTGTCGCCGTGGTAGCAAGACCATGTCTGGCTGTGTTCTTATAAAACTTAATGACAGTGAAATTTCACGTAACTTCCACTTATCGTAAAATATGTTTAATATTTTTTCAACCATTCAAAGTTTTCGACCAATTTGAGATCAAAGATGGAGGTCCTGATTTGGCCTTAAGCACGCCATTGGTAGACCTCCAGCTTATAGTTATGACAACCCATCCCCAGGCTCCATAAGAAGCTAGGGTGAAGTGCATCACACAGTCTGTATGCTAACAGCTGTCTGTGCTGAAGAAACTATTACTGGAGAGACAAATAGCAAGGCTGGAAAAGGAGGAGGCAGGTTTTTTTTTTTGGTTTTTTTTTCGAGACAGGGTTTCTCTGTGGCTTTGGAGGCTGTCCTGGAACAGCTCTTGTAGACCAGGCTGGCCTCGAACTCACAGAGATCCGCCTGCCTCTGCCTCCCGAGTGCTGGGATTAAAGGCGTGCGCCACCAACGCCCGGCCAGTTTTTATTTTCTACATGAAACAGAACTCCAGCAAGTCACCTGGCAGTCCATCTAGGCAGAATATTTTATTCCATTCTCCTCCATCCACTTTAGCCTAGAATCTTTTTTTTTTTTTTTTACAAAAAGTCATATCTACCTTGTTACCATCCATGGGGTCCATATTCTGTTTCACTGACAATGTTATCAGGATCATCTTTTCATAGGGTAAACATTTTCCAATCAACATGGCATTCGTTAATTCTTGTTGCTACATTTTATAAATGAAAACTGGAGGAAAACCCTTAAAATTATGAATCAAATTCTACTTCACTTTCATAAATGTCACAACTTCCTTCCTGTACTTTGGGTAGGGAGGAAATACAAGTGGACACCTGACATAGGAAAAGATATTGTGTAGTTGAATTTGGCTCAGGCTCATAATACATTCACATCTTATGAGAGAGAAAGGGGAAAAAGATTTGCGGGGTTGGGGGGAGGGAAGGCTCCCTCTACATTTAATTACAAAGAAAATTTTCTGTTATAGCATACTTACAGGAATACCTCTTAGCATGTTGCCAACAGTATCACAACTTGTTTATCCAAAGGTTATGTGGGAATCAGAGCCTTTTGATACTAATCAAGTAACTTGCAAGTGTTGCTGGGAAAAAGAAAATGTGAACTTTATCCTAAGAAATGAAACAGCTCATTAATCAAGTTTACTCTACTGAAGATAATTTTAGGGAAAGAGAGGGCAAGTAGACACTTCAGATAAGAAATGGACCTTAAAATAGGGTTTGCCAAAGCCTTCTGCACAGAAAGCACTTAAGTAAATTGACTTTAATCATGTTACACATTATATATGTGTCTGTATAATTAATTAAAAATCCTACCCAGCATGCCAAATTCAAGTTTTACATATGAACTACTTTATTGGTGTTCACTTAATGTCTCAAGGTAAAGATGCTATGTAGACAATGGGTTTTCTTAAACATTTTTTTATTTTGTTTTTTACTGTTGTTACTACCACAGTATACTTCTGGTAGCTTTGGGACTTGTCTCTCAATCAGAATTAAATTCTGCCTTAGCAGGTTTTAAAGACATTTCTGTAAATCTAGTTAAATAGCATAGGTTGTAAGATAGGGATGTAAAAATAACTCTTTTTTAAAGGAGTACAGGATATAAGAGTGGGACTTTTTTTCTAGCAAGATGAATTGCAAAAATCCATTAGCCAAAACCCATGAATAGGGTGGGGGCAAAAAATAAAACCAATGAATAGTTAAGTGTGATAAACCAGGCATTATCTAAATCTGTCAACATAGTAAAGTAACATGGGAGAAAAAGAAAGGCTTTGCAATATTGTATCTTATTGTAAACTTCATTTAACGACTTTACTGTTACTCAAAGAACGTTTTTAATTCAAGGCACAATAATAGAATGTTTAGACCTTAAATAACTTTTAAATGTTTAAAAATTCTAGGAAAAAATTGTTCTTCAACATTTTCAGTACATCTATATGCAATATGCCTTTGCAGAAGGTCTCAGAGTAACTCTCAGTGTGACACCATCTTCAATAGCAGCAGAAGACATGGCTGTAGATGTATCTGGAGGCTGAGCGGAAGATGGCTGGGTGGTGTACTGACTGATTTTGTGTATCAACTTGACCCAAGCTAGAGTCATCAGAGAGGAAGGAGCGTCAGCTGAGGAAATGCCTCCATGAGACCCAGCTGTAAGGCATTTTCTCAATTAGTGATCAGTGAGGGAGGACCCGGTCCAAGTGGGTGGTGCCACCCCTGGGCTCATGGTCCTGGGTAGGAAAGCCAAGGGAGCAAACCAGTAAGCAGCTCTCCTTCCTGGCCTTTGCATTTAGCTCCTGCCTTTGGGATCTTACTAACTGCCACTGAGTTCAGTGATGAACAGCAATGCTGAAGTGTAAGCCTAATAAACCCTTTCCTCCCCAACTTTCTGTTTGGTCATGGTATTTTGTCACAGCAATAGAAATTCTAGCTAAGACAGATGGTTTGCTGGAATAGTGGCTAGTCAGCCTATTCTCACCACTACCATGAACTGATGGTTTCCCCACACTTGTCAGATATTTTGAATTTAAATAAACGCTATAATTCAATTCTTAAATAACTGTTCATGTTTTCCAAAATATGTATGGAGGATTAACCTATCCTAAAGGTTTCCAGCTTTTAAGAAAACATCTGGAAAGTCCACTTTTCATGGAACAGGCTTGTTGGGCCTAAGAAAGGTTCAGATGTGAGGCCCAATGTAAGCTCCTGAGCCTGACTTGAGTTTAGGGCTCGGAGGTGAGACCCAGTGTAACCTCCTGAGCCTGGCTAGAGTTTAGCGACCTGTCTCTGACCTGTAACCTCCACGTGGGGGTGACTCAGCCAGATCTGATGCAAGATTGCCCCCTGCCTAGCTGCCTGCCTGCTAGGTGGAATACTATTGGCCCTTAACTCCTCACGTCACCTTACCCTATCCCAAGATTCCCATCCCCTACCTCAGTCCTATATAAGTTCCTGCGTGTTGGAATAAATTGAGATCCTGCTTCGACAGACTCCCAACTCAGTGTGGTTTTTTTCTCCATGATAACTAATGGGGGGAGGATCTGAAGAGGCTGGCTGGACCAGCCCTTCTCCTGCTCTACCTGCAGGGAGGACCCTGCACAGGTCTGGGCTGAGAGGCCTTTGTAAAGCAATTTAGAGATTAAGGTAGACAGTGGAAGAGATCAGTGTTTAGTAGAGGATTAATGTTCATGGAAACAGGTAACCAATGGAAAATTCAGTATGACCTTGTTGGGGTACCCCAAATTGAGGAGGGGTCCCCAAGCTGGATTCGTCACCCCAAGAATCAAGAGTCCACGTGCCAATTGATGCAACACGCAAGAGGCTTTAATTAGGCATCTGCAGATGGGCCTCTTGGTCAGTTTTTAGACCGATTGGCCCTGAGGTTCAGTTACAATCAGCTTTTAAAGACAAAAACCACAAGCCTTTGGGAGGGGTCCCTTTCTTGTGACGTGGGGGGGGGGCGTGACTACTGACCAGGGGAAGTAGATGTCTTCCTGACCTACACGTTGTAAATTCCTCAAACCTTGGTATGAGTTAATCGTCTCTCCCTAAGTAAATGGTGGTTATCATCTCCTTGTTTCCCACGAATCTTGTTTGCCCATCTCTGATGCCCTGGTCAGTTCGTCACAGGTGGTCAGCAGCCCAGAATTTGGCCTTTTGTGGGTTTACAGCCCTTCTGCAATTAAGGTTGCTAAACCATATATCCCATTCTGTGGTTTGGCCAGTTCCTGGGATGTGGCCCTTTGTTTACATTCTGAGTTCTCTAGTGGGGTGCCCTCCCTGTTTAAGCTTATATTTTATTTCTATGAATTCAGGGTCTTTCAACCAGAGAGAATTAGGATAACAAGGTGATCCAATATTTAATATTATGGCACATATTTGAGTAAAACTACTGTCACTGAAAATATTTCAAATCAGCCACCTACTCCAAGCCCTATACAGTGGCTGGAGAAGTTGCTTAGTAGTATGCTTGCTATGTTAGCATGAGTTCCTGAGTTCAGGTTGTAACATTCAGTTTGACTTTGTGATGTGTGTCTAGAACCCTAGCATTGGAGGACAGATGGATCCTTGAAGCTCTTTGTCCAAAAAGTCCAGCTGATCAGTGAGTTCCAGGTTCAGTAAGAGACAATGTCTCAAACAATAAGATGGTCAGTTATATAGACGATGTCTCAAACAATAAGATGGTCAGTTATATAGGAAGGCATCCCTGTATTATTAACTGCTCACCTCCATGCCCATGCAATACACACTCGTGTGTAACAGTGTATACATACAAATAACATGCACAAAGTACATACACATAGACACACAAATATGAAAAGCACACAATAATTCCAGTGTAAATGATTCTTTGAAATATCAGAGAATAACCTCTGGCCTTAAAAAAAAAAAAGGAAAATCTTGAGGGAATTGCAGAGTTGGGTCCTCAGAGCTACAGGTTACTGGAGCATGGAAGTCATAAACACTGAGCAGCTGCATAATCCTATTGAATATGGGTTGACCAAAAATATTAAGCCAAATTCAGCTAATTCATGACTGTGAAAGAAAGCCTCAACAATGGCAGAATTATAAGTGGAAGCAACTGATTTCATATCTGTGCTATGATCAGTGAAAAAAACAGTAACAAAGTAGTTGAGAAAAACGTTATTTTCGTGTACTCACCTCTAAAAATACAACACTGAAGTAATGCTCATCTCCTTCATTTTTCATCACATAAAAATATAGTTGGAATTGGTTTCCAGTTCAGGATGAACGTTTTTCCTACGGAAACACTTTTCAGTCATATCCTTACTTCAAAGGTGAGGAAGCAAGGAATGGCAAGACCCTGGAACACACCACTCATGTCCATGCCCCTCAGCACCAGCCCTGGATTTGTTCTGAAGTCGTTACAGTTAGAATCGCTGATTCTCCCAGAATGCAGTTCCGTCAAACCAGGCATCCATTATGATCCTGTGAGCCCTCACCTAGAATCTGAGGGTAACCATGGCTCTCTATACTCAGTCACATTGTTTTAGAACTATTAAATAGAAAAAGAGATGGAGATTTCAACAGTGTAAAACACTCTGAAGTAAAAACGTGAAACAAAAGTCTCTCTGTGAGTCAGAGGGGGAAACTAACAGTCCCTCACTTGGATTTACAACCATGGAGGCCCCAGAGCCTAAAATCCCAGGAAGCACACTGAATGAAGTTGTGGTGAGTGTCCCACCCACAAACCGAAGCTCAAAAGGGAAGGAAGGTAATCTTGCAATGTCCCTGTGGTTTCAATTTCATCAGTGTCTCTGTGTGTTCCTTCCTGAGTTAGAGAATCTCTGTTGTTTGATCATTTAGCTGATATTCCCAGAGCAAATTGAATTTAAAACCAAGAGGCTTGAAAAACAGTTTAGAAATTATCCTTTTACTGAAGACGACTTAGAAATTTAGGTTTGTCCCATCTCCTCTTTTTGCTTTCCCCCCCTTTTAACATGGAATAAGAACAAAGAAGAAGTGGGATGATGAAGGGGAATGAGGATGAAGATGAAGAGGATGGTGGGAGAGGGGAGGAGGAAGACAGGACACCACAGATCACCGAATCACAGCACCACAGTGTTGTTCCAGGAACAGAAGACTTGAAGAAGATTCACCAAGGTGTTCCTAGCATTATCCAAAGTGTCTGCTCTCCATCTCCTTTCGACTTGTCTGAATTTAGCTCATCTAAGGACAAAAAGCTTTACTCTTACACCAGGCCTCTGCTAATCAACACATTTCCAATTATGTCTCTTTTCATCAGTTTCCGCTGCTGCTGTGTCAAAGGTTCAGACACTTATGTTTGGAACTGGGTTCAGCTGTAGACTTCCTTGACATATAATGAGTGTTGGGTGCACAGCAGGGAGAGAGGGAAGCCAGTCAGTGGAAAGGATGGAAATGAGCTAGTGACCATGAAGACTTGTAGCAAATGGATTTTTCATTATCACTTTGCAATAAAAAAGTGACATACTACTTGTATTCAGCCATTTTTGTCTGGCACCTAGGGAGCTCTAACTAGTGTGCATGATCCTCAAATCTTTCATTTCACAAAGAACAGCCTAAAATATGGCAAAAGGTGATTTTTAAAAAAATCATCAATCATGCCCAGGTTGGTTGTGCTACTAGAATGTTGCACACTGAATCTGTCTACAGCAGCCACTGAGCCTTGGCTCACCAGTCAGTCAGAAGAAAAAGACAACTAATAAATGGTTGATTTACCCCAAAACTGTGTTCCACTTTACTGAGACCAGCTCTATTGGTTACATATTATTCATAAATTTATCCTAAAATAAACATTTTATGTATCTCGCCAGACTAGAACTGACTTTAGTTAAAACTTTGTGTCTCCCTCTAGCTCAGTGGTTCTCAATGTGTGGGTTGCAACCCCTAAGGGGTCACTAAGATCATCAGGACACTGATATTTGTGTTATAATTCATAACACTAGCAAGATTGCAGTTATGGTGTAGGAATAAAAATAATTTTATGGTTGGGGATCACCACAACATGAAGAACTGTATTAAAGGGTCACAGCAATAGAAAGGTTGAGAACCACTGCTCTATTTCAAAATCTTCTACCAACTGTGCGAGGCCCGGGTTCCACATGACTGTGGCAAGCATCTCAGTACTTTATCTGCTGTCTGAAGCCATTGTGAATGTGACAGCTTAGTTAACTAACAGCTCTAAGCAATAATGTCTTCATTTGTACACTGCCTGGACTGAATACGGCTGAATTCTCAGAGTATCCTTTGGGCTAATGAGAACCTATCAGATTAACTCATAGTCACTGCATCTTGGGCAAAAATTTATAAGCAAATACCATCCCAAATAATAATCGGCTCACTAAAAAGGAGTTAGAACAAAGTTGTCCCTAGTAAATAAAACTAACTAACTAAATACATAAATATAAACTTCCTGGATCTAAGTTAAAGAAAGAGAAGGACTTTGCAAGTAAAATTGCATTTCATAAATATTATCATGGTAATTGGGAGAGCAACTTAATGGAATACAATAAAATATTGTACAACCTACCAAAGCATAGAGTGAACAATTAACAGAATGGTGCAGGTAGCATCAATGTATTTGACAGCATTGGACAGCTTTTCTCTGTGTGCATGCGTTCATCTGTGTTTGGATGCAAGTGTACGTGCATGGAAATGAAGGCCAGAGGACAATCTCTACAGTCCACCTTTTTCTGTTGTTATTGTTAAAGGCCCATTAGGTTCTGGGGATGAAAAGCAGGGGCTGATGCTTGCTTTACTAGGGCTTCACCAACTTAATCTTTCCAGCAGACCACAGGACTTTGAAAAACTGAATTTTAGGGAACTTTCGTGAATCATTATTAGTGTAAAATAGGAAAAGTAGAATGTAATCTATAGCAAAGAAAAACAAAATGTCCATACACAGAGTATCACAATGCATTTGAAAGAAAACAAAGGGATAAGGTAAGTGAAGTATACCAAGATTTTTCAATTAGTTTTATTTATTTAGTAATAGGGATTGTAAAGAACTAAAATTAGAGCGAGAGTTGTCACTGATTGTGAAATGAGACCAGGAAAAGGAAATGACCCGGGTTAAAATCAAAAGTAGCCATTTTGCGCATCCCCTTCCTCCCAACACACATCCTCCACTCCTGTATTCTCGTATCCGTTCCAGCCTTCAGTCTTTGTACTGCATTACATGAGAGGTGTGTCCAGAGATGACACAAGTTATTTTTAATTCTTTTATGTTGCTTTGAGTTTTTAATTTTTTGAGTAACATTGGTTTCTCTCCCCGTGCATGTTTAAAAGCTTTTATTCCGATCACTAGATTCTGCTCAAAGTTGCCAAGAGACACATCTCAGAGGAGTTAGTTACCATGAGGGTTCTAGGATGGGAATGGGACACCATGATAATTATTACAAAAGTCTTGACCTATTACTTGAAATACGGAACTCTATTCTGTCTACATAACTGGAGCCGACAGCTTTGTCTTGAGTAACTGATATGCCTGTCAAATGCAACAGAGGTAGGAGACAAATGGATTCCTAGTCAGAGCAATAGCCAGCTCTAGACTTACACAGGTTTAATGCTCCAGCTTCGGCTGCAGCTGCATAGTTCATCCACATCTTTGTCCTGCAGTCTGTCTCCATCAGTGGCCATGCAGACGTGCTGGATTATAGGGCAAGCGAATCGCTCCAGTGCTGTCTCCCAGCTCTGGATCAGAAATGTAAGTATGGCCAGTGCATGTCCATTTTCCATAATCTCAGCCATCCGGAGAAGCTTTTGTTAGACTGCATTTTAAGTCTTTACTTACCTTCTTAGCTTGGGATCAGTGCTAACAAACTTATCACATTATCTGGTGTGTGTGTGTGTGTGTGTGTGTGTGTGTGTGTGTAGCTTTTTCACTTAAGATTTCCCTGCTCTGTAAAAATACTCCCTTTTCTAGGAATGAAAATTAAATAACACGGGATGCCAGAAATCAACTGTAGGAAGTGGGAGAAGAAAGGTCTCAGAAAACAAGAAGTAAAGCTTTATGGGAATTTCAGGAAGTTCACAGGGAACTGAAATCCCTCTAGTGCCCTAGGGGCAGGGAAGTAGGTGGGGTAGGATCCAGCTCAATCCTTTAGCAACCCTAGGCCAGGGGCAGGGATTGCTAGGGATTGAGGGGCAGACAGAATGAAAATTGGCTCAAGGCCTTGTCTGCATTCTGCAGGAAGACCACCCAAAATGACAAAGCAAGATAAAGTCCCGGGACACATGCTTTTCTTTTGCCTTGCAAAAATAGGGGTAAGTTATCAAGTTGCTTTGCAATTCAGGTCTCTCTCCTTAAAGAATCATAGCCCATGCAGGCATAACCTCTTTAGGTAGAAATTTTCCTTCATTAAATTTTAAACAGTAGGATGCAAATTCTATACTACTGAACTGTTATAGCACTATAGTATTTAAGTGAAAAACCATATTCTAAAGGTATATACAAATGAGCTGCCACTATTCTAACACATTAGCTACCCATAGCAACCATTCCTTCCCTTGCATTAGGAAGAATAATCAAGACTTTCTGTATTTCCTTTCTTTTCACTGGAAACATATACTGTGTGAAAACTGTCATCACTCTGGTAAAATAAAAATGGAGAATCATTTATTGCCTATATTAGAACTCTTTACAAGGTGAGCTTTTAAAAATATCAAGTAGCTTACAAGTAATTAGACAGAATTTTCATTTATGGTCTACTGGGCAATAATGTGCTAGGCTGGAGAAACAATGCCAGAGAGAAAGACATGGTCTGTACCTCCAGCAGTGTTGCAGTACGGCTACACCGACATCTAGGTTTAAGTCAATTGTGCAGTTATGTCCTTTACTAAGGAAAGACCTCTTAGCAATCCAGCGTTTTTATAGCCATTCAGATGAAGCGACTAACTAGTTTTGGGATCTTACACCACTCAACTTGTAAGCTGCCTATTCCCAAGGTGGAGAGTAAGTGGTGTCAGTTACTCATCACTGAATTCTCACAACCCGTTCCCAAGACACTGTCCTTTCATTACATCTTTTAATCTCCACAATCATCTGCAGTGAGGATGGCATGATGGAAGGTGATGAAGTAGCTAGTTCGAAAATCTGAGTACCAATTTTGATACAGTGCCCGAGTGCTGAAAATTACAGATAGAAACCCAGAACAGCTTGGGGACAGGCTTGTTGCTTGTGAGAGTAGTGACTATGGGCAAGCTAATTGATGAGAGATGACTGACACCTCTCATGCAGCTTCCTGGTCTGTAAAACTGCAATGCCTCGTATACCCACTGGATGCTCAGGAGGCAGCAACTCCTTCTGAGTCAAGATTTATCTTATACTGCAGGAAATAGTTCACATGCAACCATGCTGCCATAGGTGG